ACCTTTACGAGACTATAGGGACCGTGAAATTAAGGTCCATATTATATATGGGACTTTCCTTCACTGTACACTCACGTAGATATTGTACATGTAACCATATAATTACAACCATGCAAACACAGATTATATATACAGAATTTACACACACACACACACACACACACACACACATACACACATACGCACGCGTTTAAAGCCTAGACGAAAGAAAAGTTATGATAATAACGACACAGAATAAGGGTAAGGATCTTAACCCGCAGCCAATGAAGGTAACTCTGTGCACGACACTTACAGCTGTATGTAAGAAGTATTTAGGTAGATCGAGGCAGTGGAAGGAGGAAGAGAGGGGGGAAGAGAAGGAGGAGGTGAAGAAAAAGGAGGAAATGAAGAAAAAGGAGGAGGAGGAGGAAAGGAAGACGAAGAAGAAAAGGAAGAAGGGAGAGAGAGAGAGAGAGAGAGAGAGAGAGAGAGAGAGAGAGAGAGAGAGAGAGAGAGAGAGAGAGAGAGAGAGAGAGAGGAGGAGAGGGAGAGGGAGTGAGAGAGAGAAGGAGGATGAGAGGGAGAGGGAGTAGGAGGAGAGAAACGGAAGAACGAGAAGACGAAAGATGAAAAAGAATAAGAATAAGAACGACAAAGAGAAGGAAGGGGAGGAGGAGGAGGAGGGAGGAGGAGGAGGAGGAGGAGGAGGAGGAGGTCGTTGGGTCAAGAAAATAGGCCTATGGGAATGTTCCGACCCCTTCCTGCGCGGTGTCCTACAGGCAACCCGTACCCACCTGCTGCGGATGCCTTAGCAGACAGATGGGGCGAATGGGGGGGGGGGGGGGCGGATTGAGGGGGGGGGGCGAGGATGGTAAAGGGAGGAGGAAGGGGTATGGGGAGGGGGCGTGGATGGCGATTCGGAATGGGGAGGGTAAAGGAAGGGGGAGGATAGGGGGGGGGTGGAGGGGGCGAGGAGGAAGAGACATAGGGACTGTGTGGATGATGGGGAGAGGAGGGGGTAAGGGAGGGGCTGAGGATAGGGAAAAAGGAAGGATAGGGGGATAGGGGATGGTGGGTGATGGGGTAAAGGGAAGGAAGGGATAGATAAAAGAGGAGGAGGAAGATACCAAGAGAAAGGAGGAAATGACAGGAGGAAAGGCTAGGAGGGAAAGGAGAACAGGAGGGAAGGGTAGGAGGGGTAGAAGGAGGGATGGATGTTCAAGGCATCCATCTCATCCATCTTCACGCAGTTAACGACGTCAAACTCGCGTAGATATCTCCTCTCAATGCCTGTGAGATTATGCGGGCTCGAACGTCCCTTATGAACGACCGTGTAAGCCAGGCCTAATCTGATGCAATTTATCTCTTTCAAGGGATAAGCGGCGTGTCTTTGAGCCGTGCCTGCGATAGGGCGTCCTCCTCCTCCTCCTCCTACTCTTCTTCTTCTTCTTCTTCTTCTTCTTCGTTCTCCTTTTCTTTATTCTCTTTCTCCTTTTTCTTTCTTTCTTTCTATCTTCTTCTTCATCTGCTTCTTCTTCTTCTTCTTCTTCTTCTTCTTCTTCTTCTTCTTCTCCTTCTTCTTCTTCTCCCTCTTCTTCTTCTTCTTCTTGTTCATCCTCCTCTTCTTCCTTCTTTTCTCCTTTTTCTTCCTTTTTGATGCTCGCTTTCTTTCCCCTTCTCCTCTTCCAGATTTTTCTCTTCCTGTTCTTTCGTATTCATTTCATTTTCTTCCTTCTCCCTGTCCTCCTCTTCCACCACCATCTACTCCAGCTTCCCCCCCTCATTCCCTTCTCCTTCAGTTACCTCTTCTACTTCCTACTCCTCTTGCCCTATTATCCCCTTATCCTTCTTATTCCCCTTACTCCTCGGATTCATTTTCTCTCTTCCTTCTCCTCTTCACCTTCCCCTCCTCATCGCCCTCGTCCTCCTCCTCCTCCACTTCCACCTCCACCTCCACTTCCTCCTACTCCACCTCCACCTCCTTCTACTCCACCTCAACCCCCTACCCAATTTCCACCTTCGTGTTTTCCACATCCACCTCCTCCTCAACCCTCTCTTCCTTATCCACCTCCTCCTCAACCCTCTCTTCTTTATCCACCTCCATCTCCTCTTCCTTATACACATTCCCCTCTATCTCCTTTTCCTTTTTCTTACCCCCCTTCAATTCCACCTCCTCTTCCTCTTCCTTATCCCCCTTCACCTCCCCTTCCTCCTCCTCCTCTTCCTTATCCCCCTTCACCTCCCCTTCCTCCTCCTCTTCCTTATCCCCCTTCACCTCCCCTTCCTTATCCCCCTTCCCCTCCCCTTCCTCCTCCTCTTCCTTATCCACCTTCCCCTCCCCTTCCTCCTCCTCTCGCTCAGCCAGCCTTAGGCGAGAGGTGACACTCGTATTCGAACCCCCGGATTCTTGGCTTCCCCGGTGGTCAAGGGGAGAAGATGGCGTGTTCGTAATGGGCGTGACGTCACGTTGACGCATAATTGATTGATCGTGACTGCCAGCCACTAAGGGGAAGGCCAGACTTGGCTGACAGCGTTGGCAACTCATATTTCTCCCTTTTTTTTCGCGACATTTTTTTTGTTGTTGTTGTTGAATGCGAGTGGTGGTGGTGGTGGGGGGGTTGGTTTTGCTTGGGTTGACTTCGTTTCGTTTTACTTTGCCATTCCTTTCTTTATTTATGCCTTGATGGTATTGTGTTTTATTTGGGTGGTCCTGGCCTGTGAGAAAATAGAATAGATATACTCTTCGTACTACACTTTCTTCGGGAATTCTTGAAATACCGCGTTTTCTTGAAATCTGAAATATGGATGAAAGATATCACGCTACCTCCTCCCCCACCCCCCCTTCCCCTTATTCCCATCCCCTACCCCCCCTAATAAACGGTGCCCTGCATGTTTACAGACAAAGATTTTGGCATTTGTTTACTTATCCACCCGTGTTTAATGATGAAACGAAACGAAAAAAAAAGAAAGAAATTGATTCCAATGACTGGTTTCACTCCAACGAAAATTACAGCAAATCGCTCCGACCGAGTTTATCATGAAAGATACTAACCAGAATTATGTTCGGACAATAATGCCGCCATTTTGCTAATATCACGTGATGTATCTCCATTTTACAAACCGTCTAGCCCTTCATCTTGTGCATGACCATAGATGATAACGCGAAAGTATCTCAGACATGAACTCTCAACTGTTCATGACGCATGTGCATGTCTGTCATCACGGCCATTAAACATGCACAGACATCTCATTCCTCTCCCCTACCTCCTCTCTCTCCCCCCTATCCCCTGCCACTTCCTTCTCTTTCTCTTCTATCTTCTCCCACTTCCGCTTCCCTACCTACTCCCTCCCCCTCTCCCCTTCCCCCCCCTCTCCCCTTCTTCCCCTCCTCCTCTCCCCTACTTTCCCTCCCCCTCTCCCCTGTCCCTTCGTTGTCCAACCTCAATAGGAAAGAAAGGAAGCAAAATAAATCTTAAGAAAAGGGACAAAGAATCCCCGAAAAAATGGAATGCGAAAAATAAATTCCTTAAAAAAATATGAATACCACGAAAATCTTTGAAAAAAAAGGACTTTCCAAAAGAATCTCCAAACCCTTTTCCTTCCTCAAAAAAAAAAAAAAAAAAAAAAAAAAAAAAAAAAAAAAGCGCAATAAAATCTGGATAAATAATATTCATGTCCACAATCTGCGCATTTCTTTCCCGTCAGCAGCTCTTCCTCCGAATAAATATTGGGTCTCACACTCCGATCTCACTGAGGAAGCATCTGGCGTGGAGGGACTTACGGCCTATGTGCGTCTATCTCTTGACTTAGGCTCTGTGCGTGCGTGTGGGTTGGTGTCTTCGTGTTTGCGTGTGTGTGTGTAGAAGGAAGGGGAGGGATGGTATGCCTTAATGGGTGAATGTGTATGTGCGTGTCTATCGTTGTGTATGGTGGTGGTGGGGGTATATGTGGGGAGGGGGAAGGGTGTGTGAGTGTGAGTGTGTGTGTGTGTGTATGTGTGTATGTGTATGTGTGTGTGCGAAAAGTATGCTTTTACTCGCATACTCTTGATATACACAAGTTGGGTCCAACACATACACATCCATTCTATGCTAAAGGGAAGATCCCCACAGCTTTTGCATCAACAAAGACAACCATTTATCAAGTTTATATTCCCTCTCCATCATGTTCTTAGGTATGGCGTGTGTTCTTTTCTTTCTTTTTTTTGCGACGTCTTTAGGGGTAAGACGAGAGCCTTGATCCTCGAGATATAAGTGTCAGCTTGAGAAGTTATCCCCCCATCAGTGTTAGTGGTCAGGTCATGTCAGCCGATGACGACCGTGTCATTCACACCGCGATATACGCCAGACTGCTAACACGTCATAAATCCGTCATCTTTGGTTTATTCTCCTTCATTGGAGGACACTTGACGTCTGCCGCCTCACGACTGCCACTTCCCCGAGCATTCCCTTCAGAGCCTCGTGTCTCGTAGCGCACCTGCTGCCACGCCGGCGGTTGTGGATCACCTGCGCGAGATTATATATGGCCGCTCTGTGTGTTATCCGTGAGTGTCCGTATCATCTCGTCGTCCCCCTCTCCCCCCCCCTTTTTTTTTTACTCCCTCGAGCGGTGTCATTCGGGAAATATTACCGAGGAATTCTAAGTTACTGTGACGAAGACACAGAAGCGAAAAGGAAGAAGGAAGGGGAGTACTCTATATCGTAGATGCCTTTATTCACCCCAAGAGAGTTGAAGTGAGAGAGACAGAGAGAGAGAGAGAGAGAGAGAGAGAGAGAGAGAGAGAGAGAGAGAGAGAGAGAGAGAGAGAGAGAAAGAGAGAGAGAGAGAGAGAGAGCGAAGAAACAGATAGGAAACTAGAGACAGAGGAGAGATATATAGGTAGATAGAGAGAGAGAAAGAGCAGTTTAACAAGCACACCACTTACTATTTATATCTCGTCCCCTCCCTCTCCCCCTCTCCCCTTTCCCCTGAATTCGGAAATCCGAACAGACGCTCACCCAACGCATTCACAGCGTTCGGTTATGCGTAACGCAAAAAAGACTCCTAAATCCGAGCGTTCCGTACACGTAAGTAATGGCGAGTTCAATACACAGCACCCACACTTCCATTTCCTACTTGTGTTGACTCTGAGACAATAATGTTCCCTTAATATATCCATCAATAAAGCCAGGTACACATGGCGAGTATATACCATCAGGGGGGTGCCCATTATCCCAAAAAATTTAGAGCCATCAACACATTATTTGGAGTCCGTTTTCGAGAGGCACTTGAGCAACGAGGCTGAGCAGGAGGACGTCACCTGCGCTCTCTACTTTATGAACGTCCGCCGGAGTGACTCTCAGTTCCTTCGCTTGCCTCGACGTCATCCTCGACTCTCGTCCTGTATAGTGTCATTCTCCCGTTGGCTAGTAATGATGAATGGGTCGTCCTCGGAGGTTAAGAGGATTACAGGCTGGGGTGGGGAGTGGGGTGGAGGGTGAAGGTGGGGGTTAGAGGGTTGGGTGGAGGGTAGAGAGAGTTGGGGTTAAAAGGTGGGGATGATGGGTTAGAGGAAGAGGGGTGGAAGGTTGGAGGATGGGGAATGGGAGGTTGGAAGGTGGGGTCTGAGGAGTGGAAGGTGGGGGGGGAGGAGGGAGGTTAGGGGGGAATGGGAGATTGAAAGATGGTGAGTAAGGAGTGGAATGTTGGGGGGGGGGGGGGATGGGCGTTTCAAGGGTGGAGAATGAGGAGTGGAAGGTGGGGGGGGGTGGATGGGGAATAGGCTGTTCAAGGGTGGGGACTGAATTGTGGAAATATGGTTTGGGGATTTGATGGTGGGGGAAGGTTGGGGATTGGAGGGGGGGGGGGAGGTTGAATTTGGAGGGAGGGGGATGGAGGTGTTAGTGTTAGGGTAGATGACTGGAGGTAAGGAAGATAGATGAGGAGGAAGAAGGGATGGAAAGAGGGTATAGGAAGAACGAAAAAGGGGAGGTAGGATGGGAGGAGTTAGAAAGGGGGGGTGGGGGTACAAGACGAAGAGGTAGGAAAGGAGGGATTAGTAGGAGGGGGGGGAGGGATTAATTTTTGGTAAGTAATTATCCTTTCCATTAGGTATATAATTTTCGTGCACGGACTGTGGGGGTAATCAAAACGTAATTATGAGAGATCCGGACCCGCGTTGAAAATGGGGACGTCAATTTTCATATCGTGAAACAATCACCAAGAATTAGAATTTCTCAATTAAGCCGAGTGTGCGTCTGGTCGACCGCGGGGTTAAAGCCGATTCAAGAAGCCGTTTCTCCCTCTTCTTCGTTCTCTCGCTCCCTTTCGTCTTTGCGTTTTATATTGTTTACGTTTTTTCTATGTTTGATTGGTTAGGACTGCTGAGATCATTTCGTTAAATCCTTTCAAACATTTGATGTAGAAACACACACACACACACACACACACACACACACACACACACACACACACACACACACACACACACACACACACACACACACACACACACGCATATATATACATACATATATACATATATATATGCATGTATATATATATATATATATATATATATATATATATATATATATATATATATATATATATATACATGCATACATAAACACACACACACACACACACACACACACACACACACACACACACACACACACACACACACACACACACACACACACACACACACACACATATATATCCATGTGCATATGTATGTATGAATACATGTACAGTCATACACACATACGGTCTTCTCAGTTCTTCTACATTTTCCTTACGAAAAAAAAATGAGATGTCACAAATTTCCCTTTTGGAGTTCAATTCTCACAAATTTTCTTCCATCATCCGCTCCGCTGACTTCGAGAATAGCCTATCAGTCGACACCAGCTGGAAACCTAACCTTTCGATACATTCCATGAATAAGGAAGGATAAAAAAAAAAAAAAAATGTCGGTGTTATTAACTCCTGGCGGTATAACAATAATAACATGTGAATATCTTTTCAAACGTCATAAATATTTTCAAAATTGTAGACAATTATCCATATGTATTAACATATTGAAGAATAAGACTAGAAAGAAAAAAAAAAAGAGTGTTCTTTCCCTATAGTAGACAAGAATTTCACCAATATGCAAGCCGGAGTTATGAAACAGAGCCCTTCCAGCTGTTGGGGTTGCCACTAAGTCTTTTGGCGACCACAGGCCATAGGGCGACGCGGCGGGGCTAGACTTGGTCTCAGAGGGAAACAAAGAAAGGGTGAATAAAAGAAATAATGAATTATATGACTAGGAATAAGTGGAAGGAGGAATGGCACAAAGAAATATAGAAGAATGAATGAATGAAAGACAGAAATGAGGTAATGAAAGTAATCTATAAAATGAATGAATGGCAAATGAAACAAATGAAATATTTAATGTAAAGAAAGCAAGTAAGAGGGGGAAGATGGAAAACCGAAGAAAGAGTGAGTGATTTAAATAAATGTAAGAAAAGGAAAATGGAAGAAGACAAAATGGGCGGAACCACGTCGTGAACGAAGGAATAACGAATGAAAGAAAGCAAAACAAAAAAAAAGGATGAAACGAGACAATAAGCGAAAAAGTACGAGACAAAAAGCGAAAAAAAGAAGTACGAATGAAAGAAAGAAATCAGAAAGAAAGGAATGAATGAAAGAACACCACTGTAGACTTCGGGGGTCGCTGTGGATGAAAATTTGCTTGGATCATGCAATCTCGTCTGAGATTTTATTCCTAGACAAATATGGCGAAAGAAAATAAAAGTTTTTCTTGGAAGGGAAATAATACGTGATGGATGTGAGGCTTCAGACACGAGTCTTTCATCATTCTGCATTGTTGTTGTTGTTGTTGCTCTTGTTGCTTTTGTTTTTGTGTTGTTGGTGTTATTGTTGTTATAGTTGTTGTTTTTTATAGATTTTGTTATAACTGTTTTTATAGCAGTTGTCGCTGTTGCTTTGTTGTTGTTGTCGTTGTTGCTGTTGTTATTGCTGTTTACTTATTCATGATTTTCATTTTCACTTTCTTCATTTCCTTTACATTATCCCGCCACGGACGACCAGGACAAGCTTCCCTTTCACATGGAGACGAAAGTGATATTCAGTTCCGATCTGAACCGATTGGAGGGAAGGTAAAAAAAATATTTAAAAAAAGGCCATCCCATCCATAAAACATTGCGGCTATGTACCATATAAGCCTTTAATTTAGGCCGCACACCGCGTCATTACGTTGGGTCCTCTCCATGAAGCAGGGGGAGGGGTAGGGGGAAGAGGGCAAGGGGAGGAGGAGGGGGAAAGTGGGAAAAGGGGGGTGGGGGGGTAGGAGGAAGGAGGGAGGATAGGGGAGTTGGTAAAGGGTAGAGATAGGGATTGGGAATAGGATGGGGAGGAGGAGAGGGTAGAGGGAGGGAAAGGAGAGGGAAGAGGAGGGGAAGGGGGTCGGAAGAGCATAGAGGAAGGGAGAGGGGGAGGGGGAGGGGGAACAGGACAGGGGGGCGAAGGGGTAGATAGCATTTAAGCCTAAACTACAAACCCTCCATATTTTTCATCGGGCTCCCCCAAAAATGTTTTTTTAAATGTTTATTTCAAACATTTGTAATGCATGTACACTAAACTGTCTCGCCTATGGAGCCCAGTGTATAGTATTTATGAAATGGGCAAATTAAATTTTTTGTATGGCTATGTACAGCGTGTGAAAAATATATATAGATCTAAAAAAAACACGGAAAAATAAATGTGTGAAATATAGTACACACATAAATACTGTTAATATACACATAACTACTTCATAATTTATTTAAGGACTTTATGTCGTGTGTATCACAGGAAAATGGACACAAAAAAAAAGTAAAATAAAAGTATCCGACACTGGGAAGGGTCTTTTTCACCCTATTCGAGAAAGACAAAAGACTCGACCATCAGCATATCCTCTTGCTCACTCTAAATTTCTCTCTCTCTCTTTCCCGTCTTTATTCTCTCTTCTCCATCGTCTTGCTTACTCTTTGATTTCTCTTCTTCTTTCTCGTCTTTATTCTCCTTCTGTCCATTTTCTTGCTTCCTCTTATTTTCTCTTTCTCTTTCTCGTCTTTTTTTCTCTTTCCCTCCATTTCTCTTATTCCTTCTTTGGCTTCCCTCTTTCTTTCTCGTTTTTTTTTCTCCTTCTCTCCAATCACTTGCTCTCCTTTTTTTCTTAATTTCCCTTTTTCTTTCCCGTCTTTATTCTCCCTTTCTTTATTATGTCCTCTTTCAGCCTATTTTCCATCTCCTTTTCATGCTCCTGCCAATTACTCTTCTTTGTATCTTCTTCATCTTCGTTTTGTCTTCTTCCTCGTCTTCCTCCATTTCCTATTCTTGTAACTCTTTCAAGGCACCATCCTTTGCCTTCTATCTCTTTCCATCTCCCTCTCGTCTCCTACTCCCCTACCCGCTCTCTCCCCCCCTCCCCCCTCTCTACTCTACCTATCTCTTTCTCCCTTTTCATCCCCTCTTTGCTCCCCTCCTTTCTCCTCCTCCTCGCTCCTTTTCTTTGTCCTATCCTCTTCTCCTCTCCTCCCATTCTCTTCCCCTTCTTCTTACTTTTCGCTCCTCTCCTCTCCCCCTCTTTACCTCCTCTTTTTCCCCATCTCCTCCTATTTCCTTCCCTCCTCCTCCTCCTGTCTCATTCTCCCACCTCTTTCTACCCTTCCTCCTCATCCCTGCCTCCCTCTCCCTCCCTTCCCCTCCTTCTTCCTCCCACCCCACCCCTCCCCTCCCTTCCCCGACGGTCATCTCCGCGTTCCGACTCGTAATACATATATTCTTTTCTCCGTCTCGAGTTATCTAGGTATTCCATCTGGCCGACGGATGCAAGAAGTGACTCCCGACTTCCGTTGTGTTGAGAGAGAGACTTTGGCCCAATGGTCGGAGCCACTTATGGTCAGTGTTCATCCTCCCTCTTCTCCTCCCTCCTCCTCTTCTTCTGCTTCTTCCTCCTTTCTCCTCTTCTTATTATTATTATTCTTCCTTCTCTACTTCCTCTCATTCTCACCTCCCTTATTTCCTTCTCCTCCACTTACTCTCGTTGTCTCGTTTTTTTTTTTTTTTTTTTTTTTTTTTTTTTTTTTTTTTTTTTGTCTTCTATCACCTCTCATTCTCTTGCTTTATTCTCCTTCTATTCTGTATCCTCCCTTCTTCTCGCTCCTTCCCCCCTTCCTTCCTCTTCACCTCTATTTGCACACGAAAAAGAACAGTGAAAAGATGTAGGAAAATGGAAGAGAAACAGATAGTGAGAGAGGGAGAGAGAGAGAGAGAGAGAGAGAGAGGAAAGGAGAGAGAGAGAGAGATAGAGAGAGAGAGAGATAGAGAGATAGAGAGAGAGAGAGAGAGAGAGAGAGAGAGAGTGAAAGCGAGAGAGAGAGAGAGACAGAGAGGAAAAGGAAGAAGAAGAAAAAGAAAAAGAGAAAAAATCAGTAAAGGAGAGGATGAGAGGAAAGAGAGAGAGAGAGAGAGATCAAGGGATGGAACTTTAGTTTATCTTCTCTCCTTTCTCGCCAGGAAGGAAGCCCAGATAAAATATTGATCTATTTAGAGGTTGAGAAACGAAGGTAGAGACAAAAAAAAAAGGTGGAAATATTTCACGTGCGCTTAAGGACAGTCTTCAAAATAACTGTGTTTGTTTGCGAGTTCAGTTTCTCCTCCGTGCGGAATTTTCTCCATTTTCTCCCTTCCTCCTTTCTTCCCTTCTATCCTACCCTCTCTTTCTCCATCCCTATCCTGTCGTTATCTTAGTCTTCTTCCCATTGAATAACAGAAAGCTCGGAAAGAGAAACGGAATATCAATATATGTAATTTTTTGGGAAAGGATTTTTTTTTTCCTTTTTTTATAAGTGTCGTTTCGAGAGAAAGAAATTGGAAGTGTTTATGCGAGGGTGGGCAGAAGGAGGGGGGGGGGGGAAATACTTGTAAACAGAAGGATATCAAATGATGCGGAGGTAGATGGAAAAATCGATAAACAAAATACGGAAAAGAATATATGGGTACATAAACACATTAATGGATGGAAAAAAATATGAATACGAGAGAGAGAGATAGATAGATAGATAGATAGATAGAGAGAGAGAGAGGAGAGACAGAGAGAAAGTGAGAGAGACAGAGAGAGAGAGAGGAGAGACAGAGAGAAAGTGAGAGACAGACAGACAGACTCATAGGCAGCAGCCAAACATACAGGCGGACCAACCACTCAACCAAGAAGCTGTAAACCATCCAACCAATTTCCCATCTCATCCCTACGGCCCACCTCCCCCCCCCCCGCCCCCCTCCCCTCCACCTGCAGTCTCACAATCTCGAGGAATTGCAATTACAAGCCACCAGCCCCATCGAGCTTCTTGCGCCTCCCCCCCCCCCCTACATCCTCTCACGCACCCCTGCCAAGCCACAAACAGGCCCGCGTGTGTCTTGGCCTACCATACCCACCCCACCCCCCTCTGCCTCTGCTGTCCCCGTCTCTCTCTCTCTCTCTGTACCCTGCCCCCGCCCCCCGGCTTTCTCTTCTCTTCTCTTCTCGTTTCTTTATTATTTCGTTCTCTCCCTCTCTTCCGTTTTTCTCCCTTCCTCCTTTTTTCCCTTCCCTGTCAAGCCCTCCCTTCTACCCTTTCGCTCTCTCTCTTCTTCCTCCTACTCCTCTTCTTCTTTCTCCGTTTCTATCGCTGCTGTCCCATACCTCCTCTACTCCTCCTTTTTTCCTCGTTCTTTATCCCTGTTACCCCACACCCCTCTTCCTCCTCCTCCTCCTTCTCCTCATTTTTTTCTCCTACATTCCTACCATCCCTATTCTTCCTCCTCCTCTTACTTCTTTCCCCCTTCTTTATCGCTATCATCCCATATCCCTCTTACTTCTCCTGTTCTTCCCACCCATCTTTATCACTGTCGTCCTATACCCCTCTTCCTCCACTTACACCTCCTTCTTTTCCTTCTTCTTCTTCTTCTTCTTCTTCTTTTTCTTTTTCTTTTTCTTCTTCTTCTTCTTCTTCTTCTCCTCCTCCTCCTCCTCCTCCTCCTCCTCCTCTCCCCTTTCTCCCCTCTTCCCCTCTCTCCCCTTTTCCTCCCTCTCTCTCCCTCCCCTTCCCCTTATGACGAGGGATGTTTCTGGCAAGGCTCCGGACGTAGGCCTGCGGAGCGTTAAGTCTAGATTAAGCCTCGTACGCCCTTCGAAAACGCCTTTTATTCTTTATCTGAGCCTTAACTACGTTTACTCTCGACAAGATAGACTGTGAGATTGGGGAAGGGATTGCCGGCTCGTTGGGACTGTGATGTATTGTGGGGTTTTGTTAGTGGGTTTGTAGGGTGATGGGTAAGGTTGTGTATGGTATTATTATTGTTTTTATCTTTTTTATTTTTTCAAAGCATTATCGATGTTATTACTATTGTTTGTTTGTTTGTTTGTTGGTGTTAATCGTCATTGGGTTTTTTGTTATTACGCTTTATTATCACTGTTATTACTATAGTATCGTGATCGTGTTGTTGAATAAAGTGATAACTCTCCTTTTCCTACTCATATTCCATCTTTCTTCTTCTCTCTATTTCCTCCCCCTTCTCCTCCTCTTCCTGCTCTTCATCATCATCATCGCCATCATCTTTATCCTAAACGACCTTTTATTCATCAATTTCTATCCAAAGCTTTATCACTTCATCCCTTCTTATTCATAGATTCACACCAATTTACTTTTTTTTTCAACTCGGAAGAAGAAGAAAAAAAAATGAAAAAAAAAAAAAATACACACACGAGAAAAAAAAAATCTTCATGACTTCGAAGACATATGCACTATAACGGTTTTCGATGTTCTCCATTGGCTGTTTCTTCATATTTCACCTTTAGCGATATTCCGAGAGACCGAGAGTGGATGAGAGCGGCTCAAAAAAGGACAGACGGACGGGCCACTTAACCTAAGTTGAAGCACCTACAGACCTTGACTTTAAGCCCCTGGAATCACCTTCTGAAAATCCACGGCCTCGCCAGCGTAAAGAATTCAGTCTCTCTTGACTTATGAGCCGATGATTCTTTGTCTTTTTTTTTTTTTTTTTTTTTTTTTTTGGGGGGGGGGGTGTAAGGAATAGGGGGTGATTTTTTTTTTTTTTTTTTTTTTTTTTTTTAGGTGGGATTTGTTGATTTTCATGAAGTGTGTTGGTTTTCAATTACATTCTGTTTTCTTGTTTTTTTTCTCTTCTCTTTTCTTTCTATCATTATTTTTTCTTTCTTTCTCTTCTTGAATTCTTTCTTTCTTTAGCTCTTTGTATTTTCCCATCTTTCTTTCATACATTATATATATATTAGAAATTCTATTTCGGTTACAGACAGAATCAACTAACAAGAACATTTATAAAACGAACCTTGCGGGATCTACTGTGTTAATCTGTAAGCAGTCCATTTCCCCCCCTCCTACCCCCCCCCCCTTCTTAAGCCATGAGCCATCCCTTCCTCCTTTTTATTCCCTTCTCTCTTAAGCCACTCTCTTCGACCTCCCCCCCCCCCCCATCTAAATCAAGCCATCCCCCCTTCCTTCCCCCCTCCCTCTCTTTTTTAAACTACCCCTCCCTCCCTTTCTCCATCTTAAGCCCTATCTTCTCCCTCCCCCACAGAAAGCCTCTCCCCACCCATCCTACTTAAGCAACCCCCTCCCCTCTCCCCCTCCCTATTTAAGCTTTTCCCTTTCTCTGTTTCTCTTCCCCTTTTTAACCCCCTCCCTTCCCCCTCCCCATCTTAAGCTACCCCCTCCCTTTTTAAAACCTTCTTCCTCCCTTCCCCCTCCCGTTCTTAAACCGCCCCCTCCCTCCCTTCCCCTCTCCTTCTTAACATACCCCCTCCCTTCCTTCATACCGTAAGTCCCTCTCCCCTCTCCCCTCTCCCTAACCCTCTTCAATCCCCTCCCTTAACCCCCACCCCCACCTCCCCCCCAACACTTCTTTCACCCCAGACACCCACGTGCTCTTAGTCATAAGATGTGAAGTGTATCTCTCCGGGCGTGTGGCGTCGGCAAATCCTTTTCTTGGCCCGGGAGAAAGGGTAAAGGACCATCCCAGACAATCTAAGTTCATTGCAAAAACATCAGTTAACTCGTAGGTACTTCGTTCCTTTTTAATTTTATCATTTTAAATTTTTTTACTTTTTCTTTGTTTTTGTTGTTTTTTTTCTAATTTTCGTCTTCTTTTTTTTACGTTTGATTTTTTTTTTTTTTTTTTTTTTTTTTTACGAAAGAAAGAAAACTAAATAGAATTTTGGGAAGGTTTAATTTTTATTTTTCTGTTCTGGTCTGGAAAAAAATGTTGGCTTTACCTTTTACGATCTTTCTTTTTTCTTCCTCTTTTCTTCTTTTCTTTTTCTATCTTTTTCTATCTCTTGCCTCCTTCCCAATCATTCCTTTATCAACATTCCACTTCCAATCACCAATCGAAAAAAAAAAATCCGAAACCGCTCTACCCCCTTCCCCTCATCCCCATTACCCCCCCCCCCCCCCCGCTACCACACCACCACAAGGAGCCCCCCCTCCCCCACCACACCGCCACAAGGAGTCCCCCCTAACCAGGAGCACCCCCCCCCCCCCACCGCCCCCTCCACCGCCACCAACACCAAAAGCGCCCTCACGCCCACCGCCCCACCACCCCCACCCCACCCCCACACCCCTCCCGCGCCGCCGCCAGCGTTAGCACTCCATAAGAGCCATAACAAATTCAAGTTTAGGTCCCATCACCGGCGCTACTATTGTGTCCGTAACAACTACCCCACGTCATTAGTGCCTCGTAACCCCGTGCGGAACGGCCTACTGCCAGTCACACCTCAAAGACGTGACGCGGAATATACTAAGGGGTTGTAATTTTTCGGGTTGTGAATACGTCGTCGGTGGTGTCAGGTAGTCGGAAGGGGAGAGGCGGTTTGATGGGTGTTGTGTAGCTTCGGAAATCATTTTTTCGTAATACTTGGGAGTCGGTGAATGTCGATTTCCTGTCGATTTTTTTTTTTTTTTTATCTCTCTCTTTTTTTCCTCTTCTTCTTTTTTGTTAAACGTTTTTTTTTTCATCTTTTCCTTCGTCTGTTTTCTTTTCTTTTCTTTTTTTTTCTTTTTTTTTTACTCTTTTTTCATTAACCTTTTTTTCTAACAATTATCATTACCTGTCCTCAACAATTTTTTTTTCTCACTTTCATTTTCATCTTTTTTTCCTTCTTTCTTTCTTCGTCGTCGAATATTTCCCCGACCTGGCTCCTCCGACCGTGCTATTCCTAGGACCCCGGACAGCCCACCCGCCCGACCGCTAATGCCACGTCTGAACAATTGGTATAATGTTAATATCACGGCAATGGTGCGTCATCAGCCCGAGTGTTCCTCAGGCGTCGGTGACATTCCCATACCACTCTAACGGCCGACGCGATTGCAGTCATTATAATCACTTGCTCAATCAAACCATCGCCGGCATTTACAGTGAGACAATCACCGGCACCATAATTATCTCTAATATTATTGTTATTGATAAAACCACAGACCGCGACCCTGTGGGAGTGGTACATGTCTTTTCCTTCGCATCGTTCGCAAGACCTCGGTGATTTCTGGCTCATTCGCTCCGTCTGGCTGCCTGTCTTTATGATTCTTATTATATATGTTTGTGTGTCTGTCATTCTGTCTGTCTTTATGGCTGGCGCTTCCTCTGGTTCTTGTTATGTATATGTGTCTGTTTTCTTGGTTGTTACTATATGTCTGTCTGTTGCTATGATTTTCTTTATCTATTTGCCTGCTTCTCTGTCTCTACCTTTTTATTTGCAGATTTCTCTTCCTCCCTTTCCTTTCCCTCCCTCATTTTCTGCCTCCCTCCTTCTATGCTTTTCTCTCTCTCTCCCTCTTCTTCCATCCCTCCCTTCTTTTCTTCCCCCCTTTCTTCAATCCTTTATTGCCTCCCTCCTTCCCTTCCATCCTTCTCTCTCTCTCTCTCCCTCTCCTTCTATGCTTCTCTCCCTTCTTTCCTTCTCTCCTTCCTTACCTCTCTCCCTCCAGCGCCCCCCTCCCCCCGACCTTGAGCAGCACCGCCGTCCGGAGCTGGAAATGGGCGCGGCATAGGCCCTTCTACAGAGCCCAAAGGACGCCATGGAACGAGAGCGTCGTCCTTGGCGTCCCTGGCTCGTCCACTTGAACCGCGTCAATTAGAAGGACCTTCACGTAAAGACGACCAGGTGGATGGTCGCGGCTGGATGGGTGAAGAACGACCTCAGACCACTGGCCAATCATCCGTATGTGAGACGCAGGCTGCGAAACCGGAGGCAGGGCGAGGGTGTCGACTGAGGCAGCGACGGCCACTGCTGATCGGTACAGGACCATCGCAACCACCATTACCGCTATCAGCTTCAACTCCATCATTGCCTCCGTGAATCACCACAAACACACTACCACTGGAGCAACTAGACACAGATACTATATAATTTCCGTTAATTACTACCGTCACTATCCCCCTATTGTAGATATTTCCTCTTCACCACCACAATCACCACCACTAACAGATCACCACCGCTACCAGATACAACTTTATCATCCCCTTCATCAGCTCCAACATCAACTACATCACAACCCCTACCACTACCACAGGCAACTTACTCATTATCACCGCTGCAACTACTATAGACAGCTGCATCACCACAACCACCACCACCACAACCACCACCACTAGCAGTTAGAACTTCATCTTCACCCCCACTTACCATGACAACCACTACCAAAAGGAACTTCCTCCTCCCCTACTACCACAGTCACACCAATACCAGTCAAAACTTCATCCTCACCTCTGCTAACCAGCACAAACACTCTCACTACCAGACACAATGCATCACATACCACCCAACCACCATAACGACCACCACCACAACGAAGCAAAACCTCATCCTCTCACCCTCACCATCATACACACCCTCACCTACCACCACCGCCACCACCACCGCCACAACCAAACACCACCTGGCCCTCCGCTACCACAGTCGACTCACTCCTCCTCCGCTAACCTCCAGCGCCGCCTTGAACCTCCTCGGCCGCGACCTCCAGAAAGGCAGGCCGGACATCACGCCAAATTATACTCCGCGATAACAAGCTTCGTTCAAGACATGTTGGCCGATTCCTGATTGCAGGATCCATGATTGCAAGATCCTGCAATCGGGGGTGGGGGTGGGAGGGGAGATCAGCAAACATTGACATCGTAGATTAAATGTTGTAAGATATGTCCGAGGATGAGATTCTATTGAGAGAGAAAAATATGATACGTTTTTTTTTCTAATGGTTAGATTCATAAAAGATATCCTCTATAGATAAGTTTTTAGACACATCTTCATCAGGCACCGCTACCATGTTTATATGTTCACATTTACAAAAGCATACCAGAAAAAAACCCTAAGAAATCCGCCATCCGCCCCACCGCGCCCACCATAACCTGCGCCCACAACATCGCCCACAACTTCCTCACAACCGCATCGTCCGGAATCGCCAGCACTGAACCATCACGAGGA